CACCCTCAGGCACATATCCGCTCCCTTTTCCCCCAATGCAAGGGGAGAGCTTCAGCACAACCAGAGTTGTTGAAGAGATTATGATTCTATCCCCAGACTCTCCCACCACTCTACTGAGCAGTACCTCCCTTACCACTCTCATACATTGTTCTCACCCGCATGCACATACTTAGACTGTAAGCTATCAGTGTGCGAAGATCCATGTGAACACAATGTTAACTCAGTGTCTCTGACATCTGTACGTGCCTTTCTTAAAGTCAGTGAAAAAGAATGCTGGATTCTCTGTAAAATATATGGATCTTGGTAACGTTGACTTCATTTACAAAAAAAAGCATCCCTTTCAACTCTGCATCAATAAAACCTTCAGGTGGTAAGAAAGCTATATATCTAATTACAGATAAGATGAAAAACAAATTAAAATTCACCAGTAAAGGATTGGAGTTGTATGTTAATGCACAGAAATACAGCAATGCTGATTGGATACAGTTCCTTCCAATAACTTATAGGAGACTACAAGAGGTTTGTTTTGCACTCCATGTTAGGAGGATTTGTTAAGCGAAAACCTGAATTATTGAAGCATTATCATCTGATGCATTCCTATAACTCACATAGGCAACTTATGATGGTGTGATTTCCTGGATTTATGTGAGATGCACAACGAGATTAAGTTTACTGGACAGTTCGAATCATTAACAATTTTTTGTTAGATTGGGGTAATCAAGTATCTTGATTCATGAGAATCTTTTTGTGCTTTTTTTAAATGTATTATTGTAGAAATGGTTGTACTGTTTTACATTGTTTAAATTAGCTTACTGTACATGGAGTTGCAATTTATAATAATAATAATTTGTTTTTGATATCAAGTGTACATTTTTATCTGATAAACAGGGAATGATTGCCTTGTAATTCATCAGTGAAGATGTTATTCAGGTGACTGTTAGGACTCCTTGAACTTTACTCATGTAATTCATTTCATCTAAATTCCCTCGATGGCATTATGGCTTTGATATTGCTCCCATACATGTTATCCTCTAAAATTTAGAGACTAAATATCACAGCAAGGAGAGCAATTTCCTTTGAAACGCATCCCACATAATTTTTTTGTCGTCATCCAATGGCAATGACAAGATAAAAGCACCAGTGCTATCGGAGGATAATGAAACACTCCACATATAATATAATAAATATTGGATGGACAGCAGAGGATTATAGGCAGTAATTCAGCCTCAGGGTTCAGATGACCAGCAAATGACTTGAGCTTCACTTTTGCAGTTTGCAATATCACCTGAGCCCTCAATAGGATCGCTGTCATGTAATCCATTCCTATCTATCCTGTATTCTTGATCAGATAATTCCCAGGTATCCATTCATTCTCTATGTTAATGTGTTTTTAGAAAGTTTCAGCATCTGACAAATGTTTCCCTCTAATTATTAGTGCCTTTAAATTGCTTGTAACACTATAAAACTACTCAGGCCTTACACTGCTAGAATAAAGCAGCTATATACAGCTTCACTTTGGTAGCTAGTGCCAGCTTGGCTCAGTTGGCAGCACTCTTGATTCTGATTTAGAAGATCATGGGATCAAGCCTCAAGTCAGGACTTTACCGTATATTCTGTGAAGCGCTTTGAGACATCTAAAAGATGTGATAAGGTGCTGTATCAAATCAAGGATCATTAGTATTGATTATTACTGTGAAATGTGCTGAGTCATTTTGACAGAGGCGTTATAAAAATACAATTCATTAATTTGCTATTTTACCACATAGAATAGCAAACATCATGTCAACTGCTGAGAAATCTGCAGCCCACATTCTCTTTGACACAATGTTCTGTGAGCCCATTCTCGCTACACTCCACTGGCTCCCTCTTCCCTCACAGATCGACTTGAAAATCCTTGTTCTTACCTTAAAATGCCTCCAGTCTTCTCACATATGGGACTGACCACATCCAACTCGCAAAACCAATGTGGAATCTCGGTTGATTCCCATCAATCCTACATCCAGGGTCCCACTTGGCTTCCCCTCACCTCCACAACATCCCCAAAATCTACCGCTATCCCCTGGGCTGCCGACACCCTCATCCATGTCTTCATCATGTAAGGCTTGACTATATGAATACCCTGCTCACCAGACTCCCCAGCTCCTCCCTACACAGACTGCAGAACATCCTAAACTACAGCCCAGGTTGTCTCCCACACAAGACTTCACTGGCCCTGGCTGTTTTTTCCCAGTGATGCCACCTAATGGACAGAAAATGACCAAATCACGAATCTAAATTATGCAGCATAATCTGTAGCAACTTTAGTTTTACTAATTCACTTAAACTGTAGGAGCTAAGAATTGACTAACACATAATACATACCCTAGAGCATTATTCCCAGTTAATCAAGAATCTATGATGGGACCAAATGATTGTCTTGGACTCAGTACAGAGTCAATACCTATTAAAGAAGGTGCTGACCGATGTATGTTTGTTGTGGTTGGCATCATTATGTTAACATATCATTAATTGTGGTGCAAACCCAAAATAGCAGAACTAGAAAATGACTCATGATAAGTCCTAATGTATCAATAAGATTTAAAGACTTGTTTCATATTGAAAATTTGAAAGTTAGAATTAAATATATTGACTCAACTCTACCATAAGTAATAAAATCTGTACTGCATTTATCTTAGTCTGGTAGTGGAAGTGATTTAAAATATCATGATGTGGCAAATTCACTTAAACTCATTGGATGTGTTTCTTGATAATTGAATAAATTAGTATTTTCAGTTCACTAATAGTGAAAAAAATCCATTCTGTTAAACCCAAATTGAAATACGCGAAGTTGTGTGAACTTTTTTGGTTGGATTGCTTTTAACTTCTGGACACTGGAATGGTTTTTAACTTAAATGTTTTTAATTTTTTAATAATTTTCCAGACATTATCAGTTTGTCGGTTCCCCAGCCCAATTTATGATTTTGCAGGTTGAAGACAGCACTAATCCAATAAAGTGTCACAGTGACCAATGTCACCATGAAAAGTAAAACATCAATGGCAAAAATTTAAACAAGCGAGAAGTATCAAAATATAAACTAACAATTTTGAATTTTCTAGCCCAATCATTGTGAAATCAGCCACAAGTCATAGGCACTGATGTATTCAATGGCGTAATTCAATAAACTGGAGTGAAAGGAACATTTTCAGTTGATTTGGTTATGAGATACTGTAACTACTCTTATATTTCAGCAGTTATGATACCTGAACCCTTAAAGCAGGCCTCTGATTCTTTCCTCCATCATCCCTCCTGATCCCACAAAAAGCGAGCTCTCTTGTTTTGCTTCCACTTCATTGACTCTACAACCTCGCCACAAGAGCAGCGAGTCCTCAGGGACATTTGGCAGCAGCTCCTTGCAATGATCTGGGCTGAGCAGTACCCATGACTAAACTGACATGATTCCCAGAACTGGCATGGCGCCAATCACATCATAAAGTCACCAGCTGACTACTTTGGCATTTACAACAAAAATGAAAAGCTCTATGTGATTTTTTTNAAAGAGAGATAAAAATGCAGAAATATAAATCAAAATTGTCCGATTTGAGAACTCACTGAGAAAAGTGACACTCCCCTGAGATGAATTCGGAAACCGTGTCTTGACCTGATGTGAATAACCCAATCTGTTGCTTGTGTGTTACAAGGTCAAGGGCACATGTTGGAGTAGTTGTCCTTTAGTAGTTCTGTGCTCTACTTACTGTTTCAGTGCATTCTCAGTGATGTAGGTCTCTGAGATTGAAAAGTGCTGTTTTTTTAAAGCTATTATAAATGGAGGATTTAGTTAAATCTGAGTGTAACATTCTGAGCAAAATAATCATTTCTGTGATACAGAAGGGAAATGCTAAAGCCGGGAGCATGTATTTTACAGGCACAACTGTCTGGCAGTAATCAGCTAAGTACCATAATCCTCCTTGGAGGGTAAAATCGGACTTGACCTCCAGCTATATACAGCACATGATAACAGCATTAAACTCTAACGCTTCTTGCTCCTCCTCCTCCCGACAGCCTCCACTCTCAGTCGTCACGTATCAAAGTTGGGTTGGTGGGTCTGATATCCCATTTCCATGTTTGAAATGTTTAAGCAGATTCTGGTTGTTAGTGCGGATAAAATTATGGTGCACGGCGAGAATCATTTCTGAGCTACAGCCTCAGCTAGGGTGCAGTTGTTCAAAGCTTTGGATGTGATTTTACTGTGACCAGGGAGATTAAACAAAAGTGTTTGCTGGCCCAGGATTTGATGCATTCTTCTGGACAGGATGCTTTCGACCTCACAGATATGCAATGGCAAGTACACAGGTAAAGCCAGGTAGAATGCTGGAAATAAAACAAGTATAAAGGTTGTAACCTTAAAACTTAGCAGTTGACAATGTGGTCAGGATATTGACGATTACTGCTCAAAGCAATGTACTGTGATGAATATTCAAATGATTTGATACTGAGGTTCAAGTGCTTTGACGCTTTTTTTCCCATATTTAAGGATGAATTGCATACCCAATGTGAATAAATATATTATAATATTCGGGAATTACAATAGACAAAACAACATCCTCTTTCCTCTGCAGTGAGGATTACTCATCAAAATAATAATAAAAATAATGATTGCCTTCGAAATAGCACCTTTAAAGTAAAAATGTCTCAAAGTACTTTACAGTAATTAATGTTATGTGTAGTGACTGTACGAACTCAGCAACCAATTTGCATAACAGTGACGTCTCCCAAACAGCTGAGAAATGAACGATCAATTTAACGGGAGGATTACTGGTCAGGACACTGCGATAAACTTCCTTCTCGTTTTGAATAGTGTCACGGGTTCTTTAGCATCTACCTGAAACACGAGGACAAGTTTAAACTTTCATCAATGGGACGAAAGAACTGATGAAACATTTTGATGCTTAAATTTTCTTATTTTGCTTAAACCTTGAGATTGTTCTTGAGGACTCAATCAGTTGTTTGTATTTCTCTGCAGGAAAAGGAGCCCATCAACATCCAGGGAACACAACCGCAAATACGACCAGAGAGACGAGAGAGCAGAGGCAGCACAGTATGCACTATTGGAAAGTGCAATGCAGAGATCACCCACAGAATATGCAGAACGCGACAAGCGATCCCAACGTGGGTCACGGATTTATGATGACTCTGAACATCTTGAATACAGAGAAAGCAGGGACTCTGGTCGCAGGATTCGACGGCGAACTCAGGAATTCCGAGAGTTGGTAGACGAGGATCTCGATATAGAAAGCAGGGACGAGTATGAAAGGCAGAGGCGGGAGGAGGAGTACCAAACGCGTTATCGTAGTGACCCAAATTTAGCACGTTATCCAGTCAAACCTCAGCCGTACGAAGAGCAAATGCGAATTCACGCTGAAGTGTCCAGGGCGCGCCATGAACGAAGGCACAGTGATGCGTCGTTGGCATACACCGAGATGGATGATGCACAATTCTCAATGCTTCGAACGGAAAGGCAGTCAAGGCAGCGCTCTGGGTCTGACCGCAGAGCTCCTCTGCAAAGTCAACGTTCTTATTCTATGGAAAGAACTCAAGACATGCAAGGGCCTAGTCCAGGTTGGCAAAGGACCTCAAATCACAGTCCACCAACACCTAGACGAAGCCCAATCCCCTTAGATAGGAGTGACATGCGTCACTCTGATTCATTGAGGAAACAGCATCACTTGGACCCCAGTTCTGCCGTAAAGAAAACAAAGCGGGAAAAGATGGAAACCATGCTCCGAAATGACTCGCTCAGCTCAGATCAGTCTGAATCGGTAAGGCCGCCACCACCCAAGCCACATAAAACGAAAAAAGGAGGTAAAATGCGTCAGGTCTCATTAAGTAGCTCTGAGGAAGAGTTGGCATCCACCCCAGAATATACCAGCTGTGATGATGTAGAGATTGAGAGTGAAAGTGTCAGTGAAAAAGGTAAGCGTGATCTGTCTTTCCTTTTCTTTTTACCTGGTTAAAGGACCGACCTGATTTTAATTAAGGGCCTATGAGGAAATTCACATTGTGTAAATATATTTCTAAATTAATTGAAAATTTAATTTAACGGAAGTAAAATGAATGGACACTTGCTTTGAAAGCTCAAGGAGATAATGGTCTGTAAAATACACACAGTTTTTCAGAAAATGTCCTAGAAAAGAAATAATAAAAATTAATGAGACAGTAATAATTTATAAGTATAATGTTGGTTACAGTTCCCAAGCTTAGTTGAAACCACCTGTTTTCTAGAGTATTGATGATTTTTTTTGCAGTTGACTCGAGATAATTTCTTTTGATGTTGGTAAATGAATATTATTTTGTTTAAAACGTAGGGCATTGTCTAAACAGATGCTTTATTATGAGGGTACTTTTTAACGACTTCCTAAAGGGTTATTCTGATTGAATCTGATTTTATTTTGTCTTGAAATTTGAAAAAANGATAACAGCGATAAATGTTATCTTAATATGGTATTCACCTTAGATTGTTTTAGATATTGATATATTTTTAGATATTTGTGACAAGAATCAAGAAGTGAAGGAAATTATTCCAAATAGATTATTGGAATATAAAACTAGACAAAAGTAAAGAAGTGAACAGTTTACTCCTGTATACCATGTTGTCCAAGACCAGATCATTGATAAGAAATCAACGCTGTGTACATGTGGAACAGTTCAAAAGGTAAACCTGAAACATGTTCAACTGTGGCTCAATATTTTAGCTTTTATATTGGAGATTTTTTACAAAAATAACCATTTCATATGCAATATAGCAAAGAACTCAAACGAAACTTATCCTATTCGCACACCTGCATCTTAACTTGCTTGTCGTCCTTGAGTTCGTGACTCATCCATCCATTTGTCACCTTCCACCTCGACTACTCAAATGCCCACCTCGCCAGTTTCCCCAGCTCCATTCTCCAGAAAATTCAGTTGAACCAAAACTCCGCCGCCCGCATACTCACCCCCACTAAACTCTGTACCCCCATCACACCAGGTCTAGCCAGGCTCCACTGGCTTCATATCACCAAACCTTTTCAAATCGCCTCATGCCCTGGCACCTCTCCGACCTGCTTACTCCCCAACCCACTAGCTGTTGCCTCTGTTCGACTGGCTCTGGCCTCCTGCTTTTCCTTTGTGTCCTCCATTTCTCCATCAGTGGTCGTGTTTTCAGCCATTACGGTCCGAAACTCTGGAATACTCTCTTTCAATCCCTCTGCCTTGCCCCCTCCTTTCTCATCTTCAGGTCGTGCCTGAAGACCTTACTTTTCCACAGTGCTAACAACAACAACAACAATTAAATTTGTATATCACCTTTCACATCGGGGGGATATCCCAAGGCGCTTATGGTCACCTCTCCCCTCTGCCACTGTCAAGCGCTCTGGGATGCTACCTGCTTGAGTGGCGCTATATAAATGCAATTTATTGTTGTTGCTTGGTGAGCTTGTAGACCACTTTTAAACATTTGTTGTTACTACAGTATTTGGAGATCCTGGGGGTGCTTCATCACTACAAAGTAACTGAAGAAATTGTACCTCATGTGGAAAAACTCAAAAGTTATGGTGCTGGCCCATTTGGCGTTATAGCTTTATAGTGTTGATGTGTTATGTAATAGAGATTATTCTCTGTTTGTTTGTTGTTAAATTTACCAACTTCCGATTAATTGTGCCACTGTTGATTAGCAAAGATCTACTTCATTTCATATTTGCTCTTTGTCTTTGCCGTGTGGCCAAATGCTTTTTTCATAGTGGATATTATTGTATTCTCCTATTATAACCAAACACTGGCAAGCTCAATAGATTTATTGCTGAGTGGAGAATATCTCCCTCTCATATCTTATGAAGAAATCCTCAATCAGGTTGGAAACTAATAGCATTCAGCCAATCTGCTGCACTACATTCAAATATGGTTGAGCCATTGAAATAGTTATAGAGAGCTCAACTGACTTGTAATCGTAGGGGTGGTCCATATTCCTGGCTCTAGTCCCACTGACCTGTACATTTATTGAATGAAGCTGCACAGTGCCAATACTCTCCTGCTTTTCATTCCATTTACAACTATAACATAAGCTACATCCCAACAGAAACACCCCTCAGTGTACCCGTTAGTGAACATAAAATTGAGTCTGTTACCAGTTATCTCAGCTTGAAACTATTTTGATACCATGTGCAGTTATCAGAAGGAGGACACCCTAGATATTTATTCTAATTTGGATTTATTGATAACTGAAACATATTTTTTTGTGGCTTTTACACTAGGACCAAGTATTTTTACTCTAGTTTTTGAGGGGTTGGAATTTTTGGTTCTCCTGTAAAATAACCCTGTGCGACTCTGTATACATCTTAACATTTTTATTAATATTGATGAACAGAGGAATTTTAGTCCTTAATTGTTGAATTAGATGAGAAGATCACAAAGTATGAATTCTGTTGTAAGGAGATGAGTGAAATAATAATGGATCACATCTATAAGTATACTATGGTAATAATAATTTTTCCATGATAGAAACAACAATAACTACAAATTACATTTATGTAGTGACTTTCCTGTAGGAAGGAAGTTGAGGGTTTGGATAGTCGAGGGTTTGACCCCGAGCTGGGGGTTGGATTTGAGTGGTGTGGGAGCCAAGAGGGATGGAGGTGGGAAGATGATGGAAGGCACAGTCAAGAGGAAGGTCTTAAAATGAACCTTGAAGAGAAGGGGTGAAGGAATGGAGTTCCAGAGAGTGGGGGCAGAAAGGCTGAAGGCCTTCATTTCTTGATGTTTCTCATTCCTATGAATAGCTGGAACAACACTTCTTTGAGAAATTGGTTTGTCTTGGATATGTGCATGTTCAGCTCACAACTCATTTTGAGAGATTAGATGGGAAAATATTCTTCTTATTGGTGAAAGCAGAATTAGGCACACCATTTCCATGCTTTACAGCCACTGCAAAATTTGGAAATGTCCAAAAATAGTCATTGTGTGTGATAGAATACAATGAGAATGGAAGTCAATTAAAGAAAGCAATTGGTACAAATATATTAATCTTTGACCACACCTTCAGTCACCTTTACCCTACTTCACCCCTCTCTGTTCCCACCTTCAGATCGGACACTCAGCCAGCTTTGAGACGTCCTCCTGACGTGAAAGGTACCATATAAATATAATGAATAGTTAGTGAATAATAATAGGATAAACTAATGAATAATTAACATTTGTTGACTGCACCTATGTTTGTTGCCTTTTAGGGAACTTTAACGCATATAGGCTTTGAGTTACAGCATTGAAATGTCAATATCTAAAGAATCTAATGCTTGCTCTGTTCTTCTAATATCCAAGAGGTCAAAGTGATGTTTAAGTAATAAACAGTCATAAAATCATATTCTTTACATATGTTTGCCATTCCCTCTTGGAGTCATGGTTGATATATGATTGATTAAGTGCTCATATTTGATATATGATTGAGATGCTATCTCATGTGTAGGGCATGGTATAAATGCAAGTTGCTTATGTTAACGTCTATTACTGGAGTTCTGAAAATGTCAGAAGTAAACTATTTGTTTTATTTTATATCTCTTACCATTACCTCGCACCGCTGTATGCATTTTTTCAGTGAAGGGTGGGAAGTGGAGGGGGGAATGGTTGATTTTATCATTGTCTATTTAATGTGTGCCTTGGGGCATCCTCCTGATGTGAAAGGCGCTATACAAATGTAATTTTGTTTGTTTGTGTGTGCATCACGTGAGGCAGGATAGGATTTTGTTGTAACTCCTCCCCTACTCCCAAGGCTGCAATGCCTGCCAGAGCTCTGTATTAAAGCACACACATGGAGAATGGCCTCTTGGCTAATATGCTGAAGGAAGCTGTGAACTGTATGTGGAGCATTGTCTTCTAGAGAGGAGGGAAGAACGTTTGAGTGAAAAAAAATGTTTGTAAAAGAGAAGGGAACCTCGCCTCTGCTCAGTCAATTGTTCAACCTATCACCATTCACCCTTGAGGTAGATCCAAACATTGCTCTCTTTTCTACATAGATCTGATGATTCTAACTAGAAAACAGTGGTAAGGTGTGGTAGATCGCATTTCTAATGTCTGTTAACATTTTGGTTCCAAGCTGGAATGAATTGTTGAATTTGCTTTTCTTTGTTATGATACCCTCTTCCAGTTAATGATATTGCTCATTGACAAGCACTCTAATGTTGGCTACAAATACTCTGAATAAGTCATCATCTTTTGGAAGACAGGTTTGATGGTACTAGTAGTTCTCATAATGTTGATGCTCTGCGACTTTAAAAGCTTGTATGTTTTGACATTGATATGGGTGTAGGTACACATATGGAGGATAGTAACAGACTCTACACACTTATAGGCCTTTTACAAGGATACTTTACGTCTTGGGCAATTGACCTTTTGATGTTAGCTGAATTTAGCACAACGTGTTTTTGCTAGCATGAGGATGAAAGAGATGGCCATCATCAGACTAACTTACTGAAGCACTTCCTGCTCCTGTCATATGAACAGATGAACAAGAGTAAGAGCAGGGCTGCCTTAGTAACTGAGAGAGTTGTTGGTGTAAAAAATACATCATTTTGTTAAATAAAAATAACTGCATGTTAATGTCCTGTGCTTTAGTACCATCTACAACCAAAGTTATTTTACTCCAGCTGACAAAAACTAACCCTCTCTGAACAAGGAATAAATAGGGGATTTGCTCATTAGCTGTAAAGGTCAGGTGAAAATATGTGATCTTCAGACACATGATTGTGACCACTGTTCTCTTTGCATTTGACATCAGTGCTGATCAGCGCAAAACCCAATGCAACGTTCTTAGGTTTACATCATTGACTTAATGAAGTAACACTAGCCTATCTCAGGCGTGGGATTCCAACAAGTCAAAAACAATCTGGTGACCACACTTAGATTGGCAAATGAGGGTAGAATTAATTGGGTAATTGAGTTAGGAA